TTATATGTTATAATTTAATTTAACATTTCCCTTTTGGATATTGAGATTGCTTCTACTTTTTCTACTGTAATAAATAAGACTGCAATGAATATCTCAGTCCTTTCCTTTCCTTCTTTTTTTTTTTTTTTGGAGATAGTCTTGCTCTGTCGCCCTGGCTAGAGTGCAGTGGCATCATCACAGTTCACGGCAGCCTCGAACTCCCAGGCTCAAGTGATCCTTGTGCCTCAGCCTCTCAAGTAGCTGGGATTACAGGCGCACGCCAGCACGCCTGGCTAACTTTTCTATGTTTTTAAAAGACTAGTCAAGTGCAGTAGTGAGGAGGGGGGAAAGTAGTATAATAAGGAGTTCAATCTGTAACTGACTGTGAACAATCAAGTGAGATAACTCACTACCTTCGGACCAGCCACTATTTTTTGTAGAGAGGGGGTCTCACTCTTGCTCAGACTAGTCTTAAACTTCTGATCTCAAGCAGTCATCGCGCCTCAGACTCCCAGAGTGCTAAGATTACAGGTGTGAGCCACCATGCCCGGCCTCAGTGTATTTCTTATTTCTAGAATATTGCTTGAGGACAAATTCTTAGAATTTCTATTTCTTTCAAAAGTATACTCAAATACAAGAAAAGGTGATTTTAGCTTCTTACCTGACCCTTTTGGAGAATTATCACTTTGCTATTCTGAACAACAAAGTAGATGGAAATTGATATTTATGTAATACTTAAGGGATTATAGTAGTGCATGCCTAAATCCTTGGGTCCTGACTTTTCTGCTAATGATTAGTCTAGTTAATGTCCTTATATGAATATATAATATTCTCTACCACTTCAAAAGCCTCTATATGCTCATCCTCACTCCCACATATACTTGAAATGCAGGTTGGCATTTCACATTTCGCATCATGGCTGGCTGGTATATGTTCTCCAGTATTTTTCTAGTTAGAAAATGGAAATAAATTGGCCAAAATGATCTGATCCTCTGTTCCTGTATCAAATGTTGGAGTCTTGTTCAAAGCCAGATTTGGCCAGCAAAGAATATTTTGCCTGCCTTCTGTTAGACTTTCCAGAATGATTCATGTCATCCATCTTAGCTTAAAAACACATATGTTATATATGATAAAAAAAATTCCATTAAGGCTATGCGTTACTTTGAAAGTCACTCCCTTAACTGGGGCGACTTCAGCATTATCACCAAAGTACAGTTAGTACTGATTAAGGATGACAGGGATCTTCCCTTTTCCTCAAATAGCTTTCCCCTTTTTAAAGAGAAAAATATTAAATTTCTAATGACATTTTGGTCAAGAGCAGTGGTTTTATATGAGGATCTGAGACAAATCATTTAACATTCATAAGTACTAGAATAGATCCTCCACAGCTGACTTACTAAAACCCAAAGCTATGTCTTTATAAAATGGTTTTAGGCCATGACCTTCAAACTTCAGAATTCTAAAAAACAGCAGCATAGCAGACAGTTCTGAGTTTTCATAAGGGGCCATTGAAATGGATAATGCTGAGTTGTCTAATGGATTTCTGAAAGCATGGTGTGCTTTAGATATTGCTAAATCAATAAACATAACAGTCATTTAAGTGTGTATATTATATAATATTTGGTTAATTATAACTAAAATCCTCTCAGAATATTTGTCTTTTAAGTGGGATGCTAAATATAACTGAAGTACTTGTAAAAATAGAATGACCAGAAAAATGCAGAATATATATTCTTAAAGCTATATTAAGTTGATCTTAATATTTTCAGTTAGCTACAGATTCTGTCATACATATCATTTTATGTACTGTGAAATATCATATTTCAGAAGTACTTTTGTTTAAGGTTGATAATAAAAAATACATAGTTTGGTTTTATGCTACTGACTTGTTTGTCAGTTCTTGGGTTCAGTAAAAGCCTATGCTGAATTTTTTAGTAATTGCTTCATACAGTATGAGTAGATGATCGGTGTACCATAAGTAAAAATGTATGTGGAGCACGTATGTGTTTTATATGAAAGAGTTGTATTGGGTGGAAGAAATAACAAAATCAATATTGGAAACTTTTTTAAAGAATGCTTCAAAATTTCTTATTTGTTGAGATGTTCATAACTGGGAAGATCAAATTTAAAATTTTGTGATTTTTTACATTATTGAAAATTATTTCAGTAATCTTTGTTTATTGATTGTAATGGTGGAAGCTGGTTATTGATTTTTTGGGGTAAGAGATGCTAAAAAAACAAAATACACAGTTTGACTTTCTTGGGTATGATGACATCTTCAAGGCAGGTGGTTGCCTTTGAAATATCATCATTTTTTAAGGAACTTGAGTTTATTTTATCTGCTGCCATCTAAAAAATAATCAGAAGGGTAATTTGTGTTTGGTGACTCTAAACAAAAGGGTAGAGAAATAAAGTTTTGTAGGACTTGATGTTGAAGGACATTTAATCAATCATTATTTGTTTTATCCTGTCGTATTAAGAACTAAGTAAAAATGTCCCTAGTTCTTATTTTTAATAATTTGATTTTCAATACAGCTTTACCCAATGATACCTAGTTAAATACAACTATACGTTGGTTGGAACTTTTCCCCTTTAATTTTTAAAACTTTCATATGGTGAAATTGACCATTTTTGGCGGGTGTACAGTTCTATGAATTTTAACACATGTATCAATTCCTGTAACCACTACCACAATTGGAATACAGAACAGTTCCTTCATCCCCTAAAGGAACTATTCATACTATTCATATGCAGTCATGACCTACCCTTACCCCTATACCTTGGCAACCATCAAGCTGTTCTCTGTCACTATAGTTTTCTTTTTTCCAGAATGTCATAGAAATGAAATGATACAGGACATTACCTTTTGAAATCGGTTGACTTCTTTCACTCAACAAAATGCCATTAGATTCATTGAAGTAATTGTGTTTATCAATAGTTTGTTTCTTTTTTTGTTAAATTGGTTGAAATTTTATGGCATTTGTGTGTTATTTTTGATCTGATAGGCTGGCACTGAATTTTGAATTGCTTATCTTTTTGTTTTGAACTATGAACATTTTTCATATTGGTTAAATGAGATACTTACAGTTAATTTTTTGAATTAGAATTTATTTTGTTTGTTTTTATAGCATTTTCAGTTTTATTATAAATGTGCACGCCCACAAAGATTGTCGTTAAGTCATCTCTTGACTCTACCTGCATTCAGCTCTTGCTCTTAAGTAGCTTTCTTTGCTTTTACCATCTCAACGAATTCCTGGTACCATTTCATGCGGTGTTTCTTTGTGCTGCCAGGCACTGCTTCTGCTATTTTCTCCCATCTTTCAGGTGTATTTATTGGGTATGTTTTCAAAGCTTGTTTGAAAGTTTCTGTTCTGTTGTCCAAGGGGTGAAGTGTGTGCCTGGACCTTCAAATCATTCTGAAGGTTTTTCATTGTCAGCATGAGGCACCACCCCATGTTCTTTTAAAAATTTATCAAAAGCCTTTTTGTTTATGTTATCTTTTTGATGAGGGTCAAGTTTTTAGGTACTCTTTGCTTTGCCAGTAACATCTTTCTTTGGCGGTTGTCTTGACTCCAGAAGCCGAATATATGTTCGTGTACTTAGCATTGTGTAGTTGTCATCTTGAACTCATGCTGGCAGGGAAGAGATTCTCAGCTGTAACTAGTAATTGCAGATCATCTTCTGACCAATTTTTACGGCCATTTCCGCCGCCACCAGTCGATTTCTCTGCATTCTTAGGTGCTTGTTGCATATGAGCCTCAGCCTCCTATTTCTCTTCTCCAATTTGCTCATTTATTTCTTCTGTTTTCCAGAGCAGTCATTCCTACTTCTTTTGTGATGATACGAGTGTTTCATTCAGGCACTGTAAGCTTTCTAGTTCAAGCTGATCACAAAGTTTTTCTACTTCTTCCGTCATTTTAACCCACTGTGCCTCACTATTAGAAAAGTGAATCCAGGTCTTGCATGAGCTTTTAAGTTTTTGCCTTTTTTTTTTTTTTTAGGGATGGGATCTTGCTGTGTTGCCCAGGCTGGAGTGCCATGGCTAATCATGGGCACAATCATAGCACAAAGAGCTTTGAAATTCTGGGCTCAGATGATCCTCCTGCCTCAGCCTCCCCAAATGCTGGGATTATAAGCATAAGCCACCACATCTGGCCTGCATTAAGTTTTGAAGAACAAAAATAAAACTTTGTTCCATTTTCACTGATAATCCACCTGGTAATAGGAGTTAGGACTTAACATTTATAACTCAAGATCATTTAATAAAGATTTATACTTCAGTTTTCTAAAATAACTTATTTGGATTAATTTCTGAATTTCACACTTAACTATATTCTTTTATGATTTGGGTTCTTTCAATTAGGTCTAATCCCAATTTTTAAAACTTATTTATTATTTTTTTTTATGAAGTGGTAGAATGAGGAGGGAGTTCAATTTACTTTTTTTTTTTCAAGACAGAGTCTCACTCTGTTGCCCTGAGTAGAGTGCAGTGGCGTCATCATAGCTCACTGCAGCCTCAAACTCCTGGGCTCAAGCAATCCTCCTGCCTCAGCCTCCCAAGTAGCTGGAACTACAGGTGCATGCCATGATGCCTGGCTACTAATCCCAATTTTAATAGGAACATCAGCAGAAAAGCCAATGGCGGAAAATCTCTGTCAGCAAAGAATGGCTTTATAGTACATGCTTTCTATTTGGTTGTAATTAAAATAATTTGTGGTGTGGACCATTTTGGGATATCATTAAACATATTTGCCTCCATAGATGACTTTAGTGAAAGCAATACCCACTTCTCTCTTGTCTTTTTCCTTAGATTTTAACATTCGAGACCAAGAACCCGTCGGAGTTAGCAGAACGTTTGCGCTCTGTTTGTGGGAATCAGAGCAATGCCTACGCCCGCCTGCTGGAATACCGCCTGAACGCCTTGCGAGGACTGTGGAATGCCCAGCGCCAGCTGGCCTTGGAAGAACAGCATGAAAGGGAAAGTTCGGGTGATGAGGAAACTTTGGCCTTGCTCAAACGCCAGGGCTTGTTGCAGCAACCCGAGCAAGCGCCCTTCACATCACGGATGGGGCTCCTGCTGGTCTTCCCCCTTATTCAGTCCCAGAGTAGAACAGACCCCTCTCTCTGTAACATAACTGCTGAGGTGCTATTGAACTGCCTTCGCGACTGCCAGCCTTTGAGCTTGACCAAGGAGCCTGCTGACTGTCTCAATGGAATTGAAACTTTGCTGTGCTCTTGGCTAGAGGAGACTTCTGACATAGGCCGACACATCCCACATAAGCAAAAAGAAAATGCTGCTGCCGCCCTGGTGGCTTTGGCATGTGCCAGGTAAGAAAAATAGTACGTACCACTTGATGACCTTGTGACTACTACTACCTAGCTTGGGTGAGTGAATGAGAAGTCAAGTATATTTGATAGAAGTCTTACCATCCAGAAGTCCTTCTTTGTTTTCAGTATTGAATTTCACAGCCTTGACAGTGCATAAGATGTTTCCACCAAAACTTGGCACCAGGTGCCTGAGCCAGAACCCAAGTTTAAGTTTTCTCTTTCTGTTGTACCATGATAACAGCTCAAAAGGGAGAATCAACCTTGCCATATCTATCCAACCCTTAGATGGATAATGTTTTACATCAGGTATTAATAGTTAGAGAATGATATGTCTATATTTCTTCTGGGAGAATGGTCAAAAATTTGTAGAGCTTTTAATTTTTTTCATACCTGTCTATAAGAAGTGCATCAGCAAGCTAGTGGCTTATTACTCACCTGGACTCAATCACAAGACTGAGTCACATATTATGTTTCTGGACCCGCTGCTTGCCTTCATCAACTTAATTGAAAGATCTCTCGGTATATATCTAGATTTAATAGTGTGCTGTCCTTCATGTGTAAATTGATGTCATTGATCCACTGTCAACAGGAAATGTGCTTGGAGTTGTTTTTCCAGGAAAGGATTTATACATTCTCCCACCCAGTAACCCGTATGATCACTGGCACCTATTTGTGAGAAAGAAGATTGACTACTCGTGTTTTCCTCTGAGCTAATTGTCTAGAGACCACTTAGGACCATAGTCTGACAAATTAGTGTCACTAATCTGTCCCTCTTCCTTAAAATTGTTTGGTTGGGATCATCCTTTTTTTAGCCACACATATGTGGGGAAATTCTTCCTGGAGGATTATGTTCTTAGTTATATGGCTTCTTCTCCTGTTTTCTCTTTATAGTTTCAAGGTTTACCTTCAAATGATTGAATTTCAAGTTTTCTTAAAGGCAAAATGGCACAAAATTCATTGTCAGTTTCTTTGCCGTAAGCAAACTGTCATAGCTCAGTTTTAGATCCCCAAAAACCATAGTTTGCGGATCCTGATGTGTGCTTAATTCTGGAGACATCATTGGGTGGTACTGAAATAAGTTCCCTTTACGGCTTTATATTGGATCAGCTTATTTTCTGCATATGCAGAAGAATTTCATGTCCTAGATCTGTTATCAGTGTGAAAATTTCATTTTGAGAAAATTTTCTTTTAGACCATACTATCTTTAGACAGATGTAGGATATTAGGAATAATCGTCAACTCTTTAGTTTCAAAGAGTTTGGTTGATACAATTCATGTTTTTATTTTGTACCCAAATTCAATCTATACTACAGATAGTTATTAAAATTGCTTCATGTACTTGAGATTCCAAATTCGATTCAGCAGAATGTTGAAATGAATGTTTTTATTTTTTCTTTTTCTTGTTTTTTTTTTTAACATGGTTCCTACATTTTATTGCTAATATTATCACCTTGTTCTGACTTTATTTACCTTAGAAATCCCATGCTTTTCAGTGCTAGATCATCTTAATGAAGTTATTAGGGGCATATTATTGAACTTTTGAGGTTGATGCTCTCAAAGACAAAAACAGCTCTTCCAAAAAACTATTATGAAGATGTTTACTCATTTAACCAACTAACAATTATCGAACATCTCTGATGTACAGGAACCTTACTAGGTCTTAGGGATATATTAATAGTTACTCAAAGTCTCTTACCTTATTGAGCTTACAGTTGAAGAGGCTCAGGTGCTTCATTCTGCAAAACCTTATTGCTCACTTACCATATGGAAGGCATTCTTCTAGGTGGTAAGGGATACAGCAGTGAACAGGCAGACAATGAACGATAAATACATGTAAAGGATCATTTCAGAGAGGAGTATTCGCTATAGGAAAAGAAACCAGGATGTTCCGATAGAGAATGACTGCATGCAGGTGGGGGCAGCATTAGCTACAGATGCCAGGCGAGGCCTTACTGAAGAGGTGACACTTGAACTGAGGACTGGATGATGGGAAAGACCCAGTGGCAGAACTCTGATGTTCGTTCTGTGCTTGGGGTATCTGAGGGACAGCAAAGTAGAATGAGATGGTAGCAGGAAAGTGGCAGGAGATGAGGTTGGCAGGGCCCAGATCACGTAGGGGCTTGTGAGCCATGGGTGGAGTTTACATTTTACTCTTCAAATCTGATTGCGTCTGGCAGGGAATAATTCCTTATAGTTGGTTAACGGTTCTAAACTTTGCAGATGTTAAAGTTTTCACCCCTTTGTCTTAACCTCGCTGTTCCCCAGGGAAGTATCCCTGTTGGACAGATGAAGAAACAAAGCTTCATAGGAGTTAGGTGACGAGACTAAGACTGTGCAGCTGGCGAGTGGCAGAGCCAGGTTTCAGAACCTGTGTGTCCTGATTCCAACTCGTGCTTTTATACTCCATCTGCTGCCTCCCTGCCTTCTACTGTTCTTTGGTTTTTATTCTTTGAACACTAGAGATAGTGAAAGGGGCAATTAAGAGGAGGACTCTAGGCCTCCTTGGTCCTGCTTTAGGTATTCCATTTCTTTTGGGGTTTAGGCATATGATACCTGGCAATTAAAGCCTTGGCTAAGAGAATAAGGCAGCAGGTGAAGTCAGCCTATCTGATACAGGCGATCATTTAGTTCAGGAAGTGTTCTTGTGGTGATTTATACTTGGGATGTGGCCAGGTAAGTCTTGTGCATCTTAAAAGCACCTTCTTTTAGATCCTGCTGACCATATTACAAACTTCCCAGAGCCGCGAGCCTCAAGTCTCAAGGCTTGGGAACCCAAAGGAATTCAGGTAGTGGTGAGCTCTGCAAATACTACAATTATGTGCTTCACAGCAGGGGGACACAGAAGGAACACCTCTCAGCACAAAGTATTAATTATTTGAATGTATTCCTTTTAGTCATATTTAATGTGAAGGGGTTTAGTGAACTGTTATTCAAAATGGATGAACTTAACAAAGATTTAAAAATCAAGCCTGGAAATAGTGTTAGATTCTAAATATAACCTTGAACAAAATGTCTCCTCTAGACTAGAAGGTAACAATATCCAAGCATAATAGCTACAAGTTCTTTGTGCTTGAGCCTTATGTGTTGAACTTTGGTATTAGCGGAAAATTGTTTACCCTTCCAAATGCAAGGAGAACATCTTCATAATTGGCATGGTGCTGCTCCCATAGTAATTTTTTGTATGAACCAATGGTAACAACTAAGAACCAAGTATAGTTTGTACAGTGCGTCTTCTGATCAGCGGAAGCAAATGAACACATTTAGGAACCTTCTCATGTGGTTAATAAAATGAACATTAACAACCTAAATTATTTCACTTTCAATTTTGATGATTTTCTGTTCCTTTAATTTTTAGGGGATCACTGAAAACTTTTGTCCATACAGTCCATCTATTACAGAAACAGACTGATCTAGGGTCCCTACCTGTTGCTGACGTACTGTATAGGTAAGTTGTCACGTGGGATACTTACCCTCCTTCCAAACAAGGCAGATTTGTGAATAAAAGCTTTTTGAATAAGTAGATTGCTCAACTCTTATCAATTCATGACCCATTTTTAAGAGTCTCATGCTCTACCGACTGAGCTAGCTGGGCGACCCATGACCCATTTTTAAATAAGAATGGAATCATATTTACCTTCATAAGTAAGAATTTTGTCTTTCCTTCTTTGAAAGGGTTCCTAGAGCGTGTTACCTTTTCATTGTTTTTAATTTTTGTGTCTTTAAAAAATGCACTAGCTTATAATGAAATCTTATTATAAATTTCGAGATGACATATTAAAGTATAAAGAAGAAAGTGAAAATCATTCATAATCTCATTACCCAAAGATAACTTCCTCTAATGTTTTGGTACGTATGCTTCCCAATTCACACCCCTCTCTGTCTCTATCTTGCTTTTACATACAAGTGTGCATATAAAATATATACATTTTGCACACAGATATAATTTTATTATAACATCTTTATGAGCATTGCTTTGTAATTTTTTTCATTTAAAAGTATTATGAACATCTTTTCTGACATATAATGATTTGTCTTTGCAATTCTTCTTCTCCCCCTTATAGGCTATTGCTTTTGGAAGGGGGGCCTGGCTCCCCGTCCTGTCTGCTTGGGGGCAAGCACATAGTATCATGGGGGTATGAAGACATGTTGCCTGCGCCAGATAGCAACACTGGCTCCAGTTCTGAAAATAAAGGTAATGTAAGGGTTTTTTGTTCTATGATTGATATTAAGATGTAAATATAATAGTTTTAGATCATTGTGTGCTTTAGATATAACTGTGTGTTCCTTTTAATTAAGAGCTTAAGATTTCTATACAGTGTGCTCATTGTCTGCTTTATCAGTAAGAGTATAAAGCCGATACTCGGTGAGGTAAGAAAATGGATAGGCTTTACTGTTGCACGGAACAGGTATCCATACACTCTTGCCAAGGAGGCATGAATTACTTAAGTTGGTTCCTGGGTATTTGAGTTTGGGTATAAAGCCTTAAGTTGAATTTTTTTGTCTGCTAATAGAGTATCAGGTCTTGCTGCTTGATACTGTTTGTTTTAGTAATTCATCGTGTGTGTTAAGGAACCCTCCTATCCTAAAAGCAAAAAATGAGGAGGTTCAAGGCAGCATGAATCGTTAAGGATCTCCTTTAAAGTAGGATGGATTCAAATGTTTTTACACAGGTTTAAAGCATTACATGTCAGCTTATTATATTATCTCAACAAAAATGGCAGAAGCTCTCTTAACTAACTTCCTGGAGGAATTAGACCTCTCCATTTGCTCAGTAAAATGTGCAGACCAGTGCTGTGGCCCACCAAACCCATGGAGCTGGTCAGCGCTCCTTGACACGTCTGTGCACTGCTGAGCTGCAGGTCGGCCAAGATTCAGCCTTGCTCCCAATCCGGTCTGTTATTGTGATTAGTACTTGTTATTGTGATTGTATCATTAAATATTACTTAGCTGATGAAATAGGAATGAAAAAAAAGCCCAGGAAATTGTTTCCATGAGAAAGCTGAGTGTAGAAAGACTCAGTGAAGTGAATCTTTAAGAAATTGGTGTTTTTTAGGTGTGGCATTGAGTCCCTCTTCTGCCTACACCTTCATTTTCTGCCTTCCATGGGGCAACTTCCTGGGCAACCCTAAGGGCATGGCGCAGAATCTAAGCAACAGGCCACCTTGCACCTCCCAGCCCAGGGCCTGTGCCTTCTCACAGTCCACCGCTTCTTCTAGACAGTCACGCGAGAGTGCTGAGAGAAGAGGCAAAGCTTTTAGATATGCTTTATTCCCTTCACTGACTCAGCCAGCGTCAGCAAGAGAAGCAGAATGCCTGCAGTGCCCGAGAAGTTCTCAGACATTACAGCCCAGGACTAAAACCCCTTTCTTTATTCTCTTCCTCGGGATCTCTCTTGGGGTAGTTTCTCACTGAAGATGATGACATTAAGCTGATCTCTTTGCTTTCATTCTCTTATACCTTTGGTTTTGCATCTAGGTAGAGGACGTTTTTCTTATAATAATATTTTGGATAATTTATCTAATTTTTAATATGCAGGCATTCAACAGTGACTGAAGTTGAGAGAATACTATAATAAACCCTATGTACTCATGACTCAGCTTCAACAAGTATCAACTCTTGGCCAGTCTTGTTTAGCTCGTCCCCTTCACATCTGCCCCTCATCAGACCCATTTTCAAAAGGCCTTGGGCCTTAAAGATGGGTGAATAAATGTAATTTTTAGTTTAAGGTGTGAAACTAATATTTTAAAAATGATCACTCACTTTAACTGACTTTTTTTTGAGGAGCCAATAGGTGTAGGTCTCAGTTGTCTCAGATTAGTAGACTGAATTTTTAAGATAGCAGCACACTTAGTGCTAATTTGATGGCGCAACATTGAATTTCCTTCAACTAACATGGCATGCTTCAGGGGGACAAACTCCACTTAAACATAGGAACAGAGTGATTATGAAAATGAACACTGAAAGTTTTATCCATAAACTCTATTTTAAGGCAAATTCTTTGGAATATAAGTTAGTACTATCATATAGAGAGCTACTATTTATTTTAGATTGAGGAAGACATAGCTAAGGGGAAACATATTGCTGTTTTTAAATAGAAGAGATAGTATATTTTTGTGCTATGTCCCTCCAGAAACTAAAATTAGGATATCTAAATGGAAAATCCACAGAAGCAGATTTTAGTTAAATGTACACCATTAGTATATTAACATAATTTCATTTGCCATTTATGGAACACTGGCTTTATACCAGAGAGCAATATAGGTGTATTACCTGTATTATGTCATTTAGCCATCATATTAACCCTTGAGGCACATATTATCCTTATAGATGAAGAAACTGAAGTTAAAAGAGGTTCAAGGTCACCTAATGAGTGCCCAAGGCTCTTAAGAGCTCACATTTTTCTTACTGTGCAGTTATTAATAAAAGTATTGTACTATACTCTTAGTCATTTCAAATTAGAATTAGGATATTTAAACTTGACTACTATAAGCTTTTCAAAAAGAAAGAAAAAAACATTTGGCAGGATGAACCATGTTCCCCTGCTAATAACTATTTGATCTTATCTTGGTCCCTGGTTCTGCACGCATTTTGGATGTTTGATTTTGGGGTTGAAGCATCTTCCCTTAAAGTCACACTGAAGCACTTGATTTAGAAGGGGGAGACTATTTCACTCAACCTCCTTATGGCTTTTTCATTAGAAAAAGCATGTTTATAATTTCATTAGGAGAAACAGATGTATAATTCACCTGTGAAAACACGATTTCAGATGCTGACTTGGGACGCTGTCTCACGGCAGACGGTCTTTACCTGTATACTACTAACTCGGTTGGAAGAGGAGTGAGCAAACTGGGGTCTGGATTACATGGTACACTCAGGTCAGTTGCATGGAACTTGCTGAATGATTTGGCTGGAACATTTTCCTCCTTACATAAATCACTGCGAAGAAGATACTGGGGAGCATCCTACCTCCCAGTAGACCAATAACTGAATAACAAGTCCAAACTAATTCAGATGATCCTAGTCTTCTCTCGTTGCCACCTCCCCACATCTCCCCATATCTCCCCGTATTCTGTTAACACATTTTAGCTTTATTTTGACCGTGAAGACTTTGGTAGCCCTAAGATCATTGTTTTGAGCCAGAAATTCTTCTGTGATCAGGATTTTTATAATGATATCTGTGACTTCTCCATGTTGATAAATGGACATTTTTCTACTTAAGTCTTTTTGAACTTGGATTTCACATTGGATTAGCAGTGATTTCCAGTTGGGATATAAGATCTATGATTTGCTGCCAAAAGAAACCACAGTTTGAGAGCCTCTCATATATTTAGTTAGACCTTTTCCCCAACTTTTTCTCCTCTCTAACTCATTATGGAAAATTAATATTTGCCATAGTTTGTCAGTCCCAAAGTTAATGTTATGTATTCTCCTTCCTTTGGATGTTTGGCATACTTAGTCATTTTTAAAAATTGGCCTGAAAATTTTGTTTGTGTGTGTTGTAGGGTTTCCGACATAGCCTGATGATTCAGCCTGTGCACTGTTTTCTTCCACAGAGGTTTTGTGTATTGCCGGAACGAGGAACTGGAACCAGGATGGGTGGCTTTTGGCAGTGGCAGTCTTCTCCACCGGCCTGTATCTTTTGATAATAAACCTCACTCCCTTTTCCAGGTCATTGACCAGAATACCCTTCAGGTAAACAGAAAACCAAGGCATTGTCTTTTATATTTTGGAGATGGTAGTTACTTCTGACATTATCAGAAGTAATAATACGATTGATATATTTTCCTCCCAGCGTGGCATCCTTTCAATTGTTATAGTTTGGGCATTCTGTGTTTTTTTTATAATGTCTTAGAGTTTTCCCATGTGAGCTGAGTGAATGTACTCTAAGTTTCTAAGGCTGACGATAAACTTTTTTAAATGATTTTTTAAAAAATTTTAGACAAAGATGGTATAAATACTAGCTGTTTTTTTTTTTTTTAACCAGATCTATTTTGGGAAGGCATCATTTCTTCATTTGATTTGTTCTAAGCAGCCTCTCTGTGGAAAAGGGAGCTTTGAAATGAGCTTCGAATAAAATCATTGCATGTTAGGGACTAAGAGCTCTTCTATAGTGCTCTCATAAGCACTCTATCATGGCGTTCACTCTGTTATGCTGAAATTACCTCCTCTTCTGTTTGACTTCACTGACCATGCACACCTTTAGGTTTGGACCCTGTATTACTCATCTTTGTATCCCGAGAACGTAACATGGTGCCTGACATTTGATTGATAATAATAACAATAATGGTAGCTACCATTTATCAATATCTCTTTCTGTGCCAGGCCCTGGCCTAGGCAATTTACATACACTTCCTCTCCCTACCTGTGTGGTATAACCTATGGTAGGTTTATTTTACAGATAAGGCAGCTGAGGCTAGGGACCTTGTAAGCACTCAGCAAGTGTTTATTGTTGAATGAAGGAATGCAGCTCAGTGAGGTTAAGTGACTTGCCCAAGACCACACAGCTAATAGCAGCAGCACCAGAACTTGAACCTTTGGTTCTCAGCTCTAAAGTTTGAACTCTTTACACTGCAACTTTCTTCCTTTCACCCAAAGTTGAACTGAATGGTTATAGTTACCATCTGTGGAGTGAGTGCCCTGAGAGTAGTCACATCCAGGAATTAAGTGGAATGTCACATCTATTTTTGTCTGTCACTCAACTGACTTTCTTATAGAACAGGGACTAAGGCTTGTTCACCGTTGTCATCTCCAGAGCACACAGTAGGTGTTCAATTATTGTTGGAGGAAGAAAATGAACAAATTAACAAGTAGATGCCCATTTGACCTTGTCATGAATGCAGATAGACGAGAATGTCTCGTATTTATTTGAAATAGAAGTTATAAAGCTGAGAGTTAAACAGCTGTTAAATCTCAGAACATGGTTTACGTTTGAAGCAATGCCAGGTTCCTCTGTGTTGTTGCAAAGACTTTTTTATTTTTATTTTTTTTACCATCCATTTTTCTGGGATGCAAAAACTTTGACATTGCCCAAGAAAGCAGTGCTGTAGGTCACTAACTAGATACATGCCTTGGGAGCAATTTGGGGATAGCACAGGCCAATCAGTAGCTGTCAACTTTCTGGACTTCCTGGCACTACAAGTTCAAAGTGTGGTTACAACAAGTACTGAGTTTCTACTTTTGAACTAGACAAAACAAGTCTGGAAAAAAGTTTATATGAAATGAGTTGAGGGGTCAGAAGTAGCCTTAGGAAAACTAGGGACCCACCCAAAACAATGGGGTAATTGAAATTTGTTCTTACTGTTCTCTAAAGGCATCTGACCTTCTCTAATTACTTTTATTTTGGGTTTTTAAGCTCTTCTATTTACGGATTAAAAAACAAAAACAAAAACCTAGACAGCAGTTTTTTGGTTCTCATTTTCCCTCATTTTAAGTGCTTATCTCTGGCAGTAAAAATTAGTATGTGGCTACACATTTATTGTGAAATGATGCAAAGCTTATTCATTATGCTCAAACACGAGGATGTTTAGTATTAGAAACACGTATAGAGAATTGTGTTTGTCTTTTCTTTTTGATGGACTTGGTGGATATCAATAAGCCCTCATGTGATAAGTTAGGATCCGTCATGGGCCTTCATGCTTTTTACTCTGTTTCTCCTTTCTCCTTCCCCCTCTTCTCAGCTTTCCGTCTTGTCTTCATTTTCTGTCACTTTTTTCCTTCCTTCCATATTTATTGAATAACTTGGAATGAAGTTCTGAATTACGTGTGGGGGATATAAAGATGAATAAGACATTGTTCTAATCTTTTAAACATAATTAATCTTAAATTCATTTACTAAAGAAATTTGATAAAGTGCTATTTCTCAAAAATTTTATTTTTAATAAGCGCTCGATAAAACACATGCATAACAGATTCAAAATGTTTAGTAAATACATTTTCCTATTAAGTGTAATTTCTATTAATGTCAAGAATCTTTTCATCTGTTAAATGACTGTTCGTATTTATTCTACTTACCATTGTATGAACTTTTTACATTTTTGCCATGTGATTTTTGTATATTATTCTTAGGGATAAATATCAGTTTTATTTTGATCAGGAAGCCTAGTGAATTCTCATCGTGGACTTAACAGCATTAATAATGAGCTGATAAGATTAATCAGAATTTGTATGTCCTGTGATGAAGATTTCCTCCCTATCATGTCCAGGTGTGCCAGATGGTGCCAATGCCGGCCAATCACCTTCCTGTTGGCAGCACCATGAGCACCGTGCACCTCTCTTCAGATGGCACTTATTTCTATTGGATCTGGTCTCCTGCCAGTCTGAATGAGAAAACACCGAAGGGACATTCTGTCTTCATGGACATTTTTGAACTTGTGGTAAGTTTAACTTTCTTGTTTGTGTCTTTGCAGAAACATTTCTATTTGCTTTTTTCTATATTGGTGTATAAAGGGCCTAAGAACCTTGCAATATGTATAGTGTGTTCACTGTTTCCTTAAAATTGATTTTTCTCTTAGATATTTTTGAAGGTTTCTTTGTTTGGACTTGTATTACATAAGTAGAGCCAAGCTTTCTGAAGGTTAATCTGGCAACAGAGAGGAGATAACATTATTTAATGTGTAGACAGTAGGGTATTTAAGCAGAAATGCTCACGGGGCTGTCAGAAATGTTGCAGTGTCAAGAATGTGTCTACAGATAGAAATTGGGAGTCTTTGAGAGAGATGACAGTTAAAATTGTACGAAGACATTGGTCCTTCAGATGTTAGCCAAGTGCTCACTGCGAGCCAAGCAGTGGCTGATCTAGGTGGTGGGAATACAGTGACAGGCAGGGTGGGCAGGGTTCTGGCCCAAATGGAACTTGTATTCTAGCTCCAGAGTTGGATGGGCTGGGGTCATGGTGGTGGAGAGAGAAACAAATTAACCATAAACAAGTGAGCAAATAAGTAGGCAAGATAATTTTAGGTAGTGAAGGAAAAGTGATGTTAACCAGACAAAGAAGCTGGGGGGTAGGTAAGGGAAGAACGTTCCAGGAATAGGAGACCATAAGTACAAAGGTTCTGTGCAGGAGGAGGCGTACTTTAGGAAAAGAAAGCAGCCAGAGGAATACAGAGAGGAGAGCCTGGGGTGAGAAGAGCCTGGAAGCCAAGGGGGCCCAGATCTACCCCATCCAGTGCAGGAGCCACTAGCTACACATGGCTACTTAAATTTCAATTAAAATTAAATCAAATTAAAACTTTAGTTGCTTAGTTCTATTAGCTACATTTCAAGTGCTCAGTAGCCACATGTGCCTAGTGGCTGCCTCATTGAGCAGCAAAAATATAGAACATTTCTGTCATTGAAGAATGTTTTATTGGACACAGATGGTCCAGATAATTTGTAGAGACTTATAAAAGAAAAAAATTGCCCCAAGCCAGGTCTGTGACAAAACCTTTTTTCATGATGTAATTTATAGTCTCCTTCTGGGAAGAAATTAGCATTCCTGTTAAAAAAAAAAATCAACAAAACACCAAAGCAATTTTCTAATAAATTTTAATAGGATTAAAACATGTTCTGGGAAGCCACTCATCCATCCCACCAGCTGACTGTCAGCCAGGAGTCTAGTAACCTTTACCCATACATTCTTTTCTTTTTCTGTTGAGTTTCACAGTATTCTCTAACCATTGTCTTTCTTATAAAATGTCCTTGCCAGAATGAATCTTTGAATTGGTCTGCTAGAGATGGAACATGTGTTCATAATTATCAGACGAGTTTTTTTATAAAAATTTGTTTTTAAACAGACTTACCAGCTGTTTAAAGAATTTAGATCTTTATCCTAAGAATAATGGGAACATTGATGAATTCCCCCTTTCTCTTATATGCTTTTGTTAAAAGAAAAAATTGTATCAGAGAAATCCACACACAGTTTCCTTTGATGCAGGCTCATAATGAAAAGCAGGAGTCTCTTGCCCCATCCCTAGCATGCTTCTCCTAGGCAGTCACGTTCTTCCAGAGGTTACCTTCATATCTCTAAGTAAAATGCTTACATTGCTGTTTCTTGGTTAATGAACTTCAGATATTATTCATTGATTTTTTTTTTTTTTTTTTTTTTTTGCTCTGATGAGGATTTGGCGCAATTCCCCCTCTTTCTTTCCTTGTTCCTCCTAATGAATTTATTTCATTCATTTTAGTTTTTCTTTTGGTTATATTTGTAATTGATTATTGAACCTTAATTTCTTGTTCATGAACTCTAGGCAGTATCTCTTGTACCCCTACTTTAGAAGATGGAGAGTGGAGTGTCTTTTCCCATCTTTCAGTGTAGAGATAGCCAAGACTAAAAGTGTATGTTCAGGGGAATACCAAGAGAAAGAGAGATGACTCACCCAGACCTAGAGCGTCTTAGGAATTGGTGGTGGCGTCAAATGTGGCACAGAGCCCTGTGAGACAAGGTGGTAGCCTGAGAGTTTACCCAAGGGCCTGCCAGCCCCCACCTGGTACAAACATTTGCACTCAGATGCATAAGACTAGATATTTATTTTCCGAAGAAATTGAATGATCTTGAAGAAAAAAGACCTCTACATACAGATGTTCAATTCATCTAAGGAAAAGACTTACTTCCTTGGTGAATCACCCACAAGTCATGTCTTCCAGAAGCAAGCCTCAACCATGTCCACAGAATTCCTGATTAGTCCTGAACTGTAGAAAAAGAGCAGGCAAAACAAAAACCCAACAAACAAACCTCCAAACATTGGAGAGTTATGTGTCGGGGGGAGTAAGTAAAACACGTTGGCAAAATAGTGCTAATGATTGAAGCCAGGTGATGGGCACATGGGAAGCTCATTATTCTGTTCTTTCTTCTTTTGTGTACATTGAAATTTTTTCCTAATAAAAAGCTTTAAAATTAAAAAAAGCAGACAACCAAGGATCACTAGACAAGTGAGGAAAGCCTCCAATATGAAAATTAAAAATGAGAAAAAGAAATTTATAAAAAGGTAACAGAAGGAATAGAGTAAAACTCCATAAGCACTAAGTACTCTGTGAGATATGAGAAGATACTGCATTCATAAAACAGAACAGGATGTCACAAAAAAAGAATTATCAGAGAACGAGAAAGAGCTCCTGGAAATTAAAACTAGGATTATTAAAATTTAAAAATTTAAAAATTAATAAGAGCTTGGCCAGGTGCAGTGGCTCATGCCTGTAATCCTAGCACTTCAGGAGGCTATAGTGGGAAGCCAGGAGGTGAAGACAAGCCTGAGCAACATAGCGAGACCTTGTCTCTACAAAAAATAGAAAAATTAGCTGAGCAGGGTGGTGTGCACCTGTAGTCCCAGCTATTCGGGAGGCTGAGGCAGGAGGATTGCTTGAGCCCAGGAGCTTGAGGTTGCAGTGAGCTGTGATGATGCCATGGCACTCTAGCCTGGGCAGGAGAGCAAGACTCTGTCTCAAAAAATAAAAAAAATTTAAAAAAAAAGGGTTAAAGAAGAAATCTCCCAGAAGGTAGGAAAAATAGATAAAGAACAGTAAACAGAAGAGAAAAGATAAAAGACATAGTGGAGTCATCCATCTAAAGCCTTGCTAATAGGAGTTGCAAAAAGAGAACAGAAAATAAAGAGGAGAACGTGATCAAGAAATAATACAAGAAATATTTCAGACCAAAGGACATTGGTGTCTGTATTAAAAGGTATCTGACACAGTGAATGAAAAATGCCCACACCAAGACACATCATCGTGAAATTTCACATTACTAGGGATAAAAGAGAGGATTCTAAAGGTTCCAGAAAAATTTTTTAAATTATATACAAATGATGAGGCATTAGAAAAGCACCAGGCTCTTCAAGGAGCATTCCCGGATGGAAAAATGGAGCACTGCTTTCAAAATTCTCAGGGAAATTGATTTTCACCCAAAAGTAAGTATTCAACCAAAGTATCAATCAACTGTAAAGACAACATAAAGCTATATTTAGACACATAGTTATACAATCAAAAGCCCATACCTGCTCTGTAGGAAATAGAACAACTAAAATAGTCCCTTCCTGTGGCATAAAATAAAAAGTTGGGTAGGAAGTAGCCTGCTCTATACTAAAAGAACAACCTTTGAATCATTTTTGGTGTCTGAATCAAACATATCATCAGTAAAAAAACTTTGTGAAGACAATTTGAATATAAAAGTATCGAGCATTAGATGAAACCAAGGGGTTAGTTATAATTTACTTTTTAAGTATGTAATGACATACATAAGAAAATGTCCGTACTTTTAGAGATACTTAATGAAATACTGAGAAATCAAATTACTTGATGTTTGGGAGATACTTTAAAATAGTTGAACAACAACAAAAAAAGAGGTAGTCAAACAGATGTGGCAATATCTGGGCAATAGTTGAATTTGAATCATGGGTATATGGAAGTTCATTATACTATTCTCTGTTTTTGCACATGTTTGAAATTTTTTATCATTGAAAAAATTTTTTTAAATTGTCACTGGCCACTAATTTAGCAGCTTTTCTAAAATGCTAACTTGGGAAGCTAAACACAGATATCTGGCTTACTGCCTGTGGTAGTTTCACAGAGTGGAACACTGTGTAGCCATCAGAAAGTATGAAGCTGATCTGCATAGACTGAAGTAGATTAATTTCCAAGTCATATTGTTTAGTACAAAAAGCTAGGCTCAGAACACTGTATTCACTACCTGGAGGTGGGATTTTTTCTGTAGTTGTCTTTCTCTTGCATTAACAATTTTCTTCTCTCAGTGGATCATCCACCACAAAATACAAATAAATTAGAGTAGATCCCATCTTGAAAAAACAAAACCACCTCTCTTGACTCACATCCACCTCAAGGCACTCCTCTATCTTTTGATTCCTCTAAGCAAAACTCTTGAAAGAGTTTATTCTTACTGTTTTTTTTTTTTTACCTCCTCTCCTTCCATTTTCTCCTGAACACACTCCAGTCCCTTTTGTTTCCTCATCACACCACCAGATAGCTCTTACTAAGTTCATCAATGGCTTCCACGTTGCTAAATTCAGTGGTCAACTCTGTCTTCTTTTTACTTGACCCTCTAGCAGTATTCGACGTGGTTGATCATGCCCCCA